TGTTTGTGGGGGGTCATCACCACATGAGGAACTGTATTAAAGGGTCACGGAATGAGGAAGGTTGAGAACCGCTGCTCTAAGAGGACAGTTCTTCTTGGACACGCAGGGGTCATCACAAGTCTGAATCAACTGGACAGCCACTGTGGTCTTATGGAAGGGTGCTGCCTGTTTTCTTGCCTCGTCTGTTTTGAGAATGGCGTGTTGAGCCAGATAGCCACAGTGCCTGCCCGGACTCTCTGGAGTGAGGCTGGTGTCACAGCCAAGGCTGAATTCTCTCCAGCAGTCAAACAGGAGGGTCAACACAAATATGCGCAGGAGCAGCGACCCCTTCCTATAGCTGCTTCTTTCTTTCCAACCTGTGTTCTGGCACGTCTTTTGTAACAGTGACTCGTTTTTCTCTTTTTAGGACCATTGAAGCCAGAGATAACTGTAACCTACATTGCGGTTGCAATAATATTCTTTAACAGTGGACTGTCATTAAAAACAGAGGTACTGTAACCTGTGGGGCACATGAAAAGGAGGGAGAAAAATTGACTTCACACTTGAACTGTTTTGACATTTCAGGGTCCTTTTGCAAAGCCATAACTTAAAGCCTATGAGAAGATAACTTAAACTTCAGCGCAAGACTTATATCTTATGCCTGCATTTTGTAGATAATTTTAAGCACTGTAGACTCAAAGGATGTGATGGACATGGGCATGTTTGTCCTGCATCAACTGACCTGAGGGGGCTTCTTCCAGCCCTGCTAACTACAGTGGCAGCTACTGCGCTCCAACACCCTGACCCGGTGATGTTTCGTTGGGTTTTTATACTTTTGTGGATAATGCTTTGTTTTCCAGACCAAAGTGATGGTTGATTTGTCAAAATAATATATAATAACATTAAATAGATCTGTTATTAATAGATTTTTTAAAAGAGAAATATTGTTGTTTTTCATGATAGTTGACAAACCATCTTGAAGACATCTAGTGAGCATCCGTGACTGATCCAGGTTTCATAGAGGATCTTCTTGGAAGGAAAGGAAAGGGCATATTTTTAAGTCAGAGAGAGAAATCAGTGGAGTGTATTATTCTCTTTGGACTTCTAGTAGAAGAGAAAATACCCATTTATTTTTGGAGAGATTATCTAATTTTAAAAATTGTCCTTCTAATACATTTATCCCAGTGTATATAGAGAAATATTACTGTATAGGACAGCAATTAAACATTGCTTTTAAGGTTCTATTCAAAATTATGTGGAATGGTTCATGTTTTATATTTGTTTTCAGAATTTTTCTATATTAAGTTGATTTCAGTGAACCACAAGTTTTATTACCTTTTTAGATCACTCTTCAGTGATTAACTACTAACCACAAGGTTGGTGGTTCAAACCAACTAGCCGCTCTGTAGGAGAAAGAGGAGGCTGTCTACTTGCGTACAGAGGAGCAGTACCATGATGAGTTGGAATCAACTCAACACCTGTGGCTTTGGCTTTGGTTTTAGTTCTAGATGTACCGAGTGGCAGCATAAATGATTTTCCTGAATATATGTATTCTGTGTATGTATTGGTGTAAATATTTTAATCGGCATATTTTTGATACATCAAATCAGTGTCTACAGTTGAAAAATTGTACCTGAGGAATATCAAATATTCTTACTGATTACTTGCTGCTCTGAAGATAACAGCGTGTGACATAGGAATTCCTAGATCTGTCAGAGTTCAGCGTTTGCAGATCACATTGATAGGAAAAAACCATGATTAGCAATGACAGGCGCAGGCTTTTCTCGTCAATACCTGCATTCTAATGTTGACTCTTAAAGGTGTACGGCCCCGTGATGCAGAGCTGTACTCTCGACCATCCTGGTGCTGGACGGAGCTTACTGGGAGGTTTTCCAGCTGACCTTGGCTAATGCTCCTTGTGGAGCAGCTGCCGTCCCACGTCCTCTACTCGGGATGTTGCTCTAACGACATCCCTTGGTAGCTGTTTAATGGCTACAGCTGTTACTCATGCCAGGGGAAACCTGGCAAGAGACTCAACTGGGCTCCTTCCTTACTTAATGCTAGTCTGTACAACAGCCAACTTTGTGGGATGCAGGAGGTGAAGAAGGAAAAATATCACAGCTTTTTGCGTTCTCCAACGACTGGCTTCCTTTGTAAACACCTAGGAACCCTTCGGAGTTATCCAGCTAATTTGGAGCGAAGGGTGAAACTCCTTGATTCTGTTTTTTTTCCTCACAATATCTGAGTAGCCATCAAAGCCACTTCCTCCATCCAAGGCCCTTTTCAAACTAATACAATATAAAGTCATTTTCGAAAGCTATTCAACATAAGATGTTCTATATTGCATCATTGTGTAATGTTAAACTTCTCTCAACCCTGTTAATTTCCCAGACAACTAAACCTTTGCAAGTTAGGAGGCAGCAGGCTTACTGTTAGTTGTTTCCTAGTTAAACATCCCAGATCCATATCCAGTGGGAGTACTCCTTGTGTATCCATTTCAGTCCCAGAGTAGTGCATTCTTGCACATGGGAGACACTGGATGATTTATTATGGATGCGTTTATTTTGAAAACATCTATATTGGCCTTGTTCAAGTTAGATTTATGTTGACTAGTTTGTATAGTATTACTCACACATTAATTCATTATCAAGGATTATAAAATTTGCTTCACTGTTGTATTGTAATTGCATAGGATACATGGTGCAAATACAGGGCCACAGCTTCCGTTTTGTGACTGTTGATAAGTTCTAGTTTTTGAAATATCCGTTGAAGTGGTTTGTGGAACTATGTTGCATTGAAGTGAAATGAAATCACATTAAAAACCATATATTTAGCTGGCTCCAAATCTGTAGTTTCAGAAGATTTGTCGCTTAAAAGATTATGGCAGAATCAATTAAACTGATTTAAACTGATTCCTACTAAGTGCCTATGGCTACAGGCTGTGCTTGGAATAAAAGGTTTTGCTACAAAATCATAGAAACCTTTACTTAACAAAAATGTCAAACTATTGTTTCTTGACATCTCCTCCATCTACGTCTATGCACTTTGAAGACTGTGTTTCCATCTCTCTAGTCTGTCCCCTCCGGTGGTGTAGTGGTTATGCGTTGGGCTTCAATCCGCATGGTTGGCACTTCGAAAGCACCAGCAGCTCAGGAGGAGAAAGACATTGCTTTTTACTCCTGAATGCAGGTACAGTCTTCGAAGCCCACAGGTGGTTGCTATGAGTCAGCACTGGCTCAACGGCCGTGATGTGGTTTGTCTTGGAAACAGCCCCCCCCCCACCCCCAAAGAATTCCGGGTGCCTCCATTTCCAACACGACAAAGCACCAGCTTTGGCAATCTGGAGGGACGCAAACCCTGTTCCTTTTAAGTGTTCTTTGAAGTTGGGAAACAAAAGGAAGCCCATCGAGTGGATGGGATAAGATTTCCTAAAGCATATGGGACAGCCCTACCACCCTTGAACATGAGCAAGTGTATTGTTGTGATTGGAAAAAAACCAAAATTGTCAGTGAAATTATCCAGGCCTTGTTCTCACCAATGCGGTTTGCAGTTTTCTTAGACTTCTTATTAATCAGCACCTGCGATCATTCTGGGTCCTTAGAGAAAATCCATCAAGCGGACCCCTTTGAAACCCTAAAAGACAGTCCCCCCATAACCTTCTGAGCTGACCTCTGCCTTGAATTTAAATGGCCCAGGTGGTCCCCATGGAAGCCACTTTGACAACCACCGAGACAAGTGTGTCGCTGAGGGCGTTTGTCCGCCGCCATCAGCTGTTTGCATGTTCTTTGGACTAAACCTGTACATGTAATAACTGGAACCTTAGTAGCAAAGCTTTTGCTCCTAGCCAGGATGAGCAGTAAGCCTAAGGTCTCAAGGAGGGTCCCAAATGGGGAAGGTGATCCTACATATTTTTTTCTTGATTTTTCAAAAGCAAATTTCACAACATTTTATTGTATCCCATTAATTTGGAGATAAATAGGGCAAATTCC